CGTGGAGAGGAGCTGGCCAAGCGCAGGAGCTACGGGGTCTCGTTGTCCTACTTCCATGTTCATGGAAATTCTCTGGATCTTGAAGCTACCTACGGTATATGGGCTTTGGGAAAACTCCAGCCACTTAGGTAGCTGTGGCACCGATGTCAGCTTGACACTGTGCATCATCCCTGCCATCATCACATACTGTGTCTTATTCCTAATGCTCCCCTGGTGTATGCGCAATCCCAAAAATACAGACACCTCACCACACCCTGGCTGTGCCGGGGCAGTCAGGGAGAGAGGTATCACACCAGCAAGGACCTAGTTTTTCTGCACCAGCTTAGCAATGCAAGGCCTGTGGTGGGAGATGAGGGACACTGCTTTTCACCCCATGCCCCTGTGTGATCTCCCGATGCCTGGTTCAGGCTGTGCAGGAGCCTGAGTCTGGGCTGTGCTAGTTGCAGGGCAGGAGCCAGGGCCCCTGATGGGCAGGATGCCTCTTGTTATGGCAGTAGCACTGGTTGTTGCACTCCTGGCACTGGGGATTTTGCTGTTCTTCGTGCTCTTCAGGTCAGTATGTGCCTCCCCTCTCCTGCTCTCTGTGAAGCCTACAGCATCTTGCACTGCCAGGGATTGTCCAAGTGGACCCTGAGATAAAGCAAGGTGGGAGGAAGGGCTGTTACATGGGCAACAGCCTCTCCTCTGTCTCTCTCCTGCTGGTGTATGGGCCTGACTTGCTGTTTTGCAGGCGAAAATACAACTGTTCAAAAACCTCGGAGAACAGCAGCACTATTCCCCTGCGGAGATGTCAAGGAGGTGCAGTATAAGCAGAGGCTCTGCATACCTTGTGTGGACAGGCTGTCTGTTAAAAGCATAGGCAGGGTGCTTACAGACTCTGTAAGGTCCTTACAGGAACAAGGGGATCAGAGGTGGCTGGCATGGGAAAAGGGACACCTCCTAGGAGAAAGGGACCTGCATGGGGAAGAGCAATCTAGGGTTTGGTGGGGTCCTGACCACCTCAATGCCAGCTCAGTCCCAGCTGCAGACCTCCAAGCCCAGCCATCAGGTGTATGCTACACTCCTGGCCTCATGGTCTCTGTAGGTGTGTGCAAGCTGAACACACAGATCCCGGTGGAAGAACTTCTGGAGGCTCTGAAGAGGTTTAAGAGGGCAGAAATAGAGGCAGAGCAGATAGAGGATGAATTGATTGACAGGCATGGCGCTGGTCGTCTGAGCGAGTATCAGGTCTGGTTTAGCTTTGTTTTCCCACCTGGCTGCACTGTCCACTCAACCCTCACCCCTTCCTTGGATGTGTGATGCAGTTGGCCTTGGCCAGCCCCAGAACACATGCAAATGCAGAGTCTTCTTCCTCTGCAGCAACTGTCCTCCACTTTGTTGCATCCCTGCAATGCCGGCAAGGAGCTGTGTAATCAGAGCAAGAACCGCTACAAGAGCATCATCCCATGTAAGCAGAGCTCTCCAGGGGTTGGCACAGGCACTTGGAGGTGGTTGGGTATTACAGGGTGCTGGGCTGGTGTAGGTGCCCCTCCGGCTATTCAGCAATGCTGAGCTCCTTGTCTCATCCTCTGTGGCCACTGAAAACCAGAGGGATTTTCCAAAATCATCATGTTGGCCCCGCTGTTTTATATCCAGTTGAAGAATCCTTGTTCAGCTCCTTAAATATCCCTGCAAGCTCATTCATCATTGTATTTCTTTTTCTGCTGTTAGTCATTGCTGAACACTGCCGTTTCCCATCCAGAGGTAGCTATTTGTGGAAAAGTGGAGGGAGTGACCTAATTTCTATCAAACTTATAGCTCCTGGGGGACTCACGTGGTGTGGACATTTGGCCATTGCATTAACAGTCTTCTCCAAAAACATGTTGCATTTCCTGCTGTGCCATGTCACCTTTCATCTCATTAGCTGTTCTTTAGCTCTGAACATGTCCTGAGGCCTGGAGTGCCGCTGAGGAGGGAGCAGACAGTCCTGGACTTTCCTAAATCACTTCCCCCTCCTTAAACACTCACTTGGTTGCTGTCCCAAGGAGACAGTCCACTGACTCCCACCTCCCTTCTCTTTCAGACGATCACTGCCGTGTGGTGCTGCACCCCTCTGACACAGGGAACGGTTACATCAATGCCAGCTATGTGGATGTAGGTAGTGAGGAAATGCTGGCCTGGGCAGGGTAGGAGAGGTGCCTGGCTATGCTGGGTGAGGACAGTGCTGCTCACAGGGGTGGCCCCAGGGTCTGGTACTTGCTGCCCTCAAGTGCTGGCAGATCTTGGTATGTCGCTTTCATTGCATCCTCTCTGAGCTGCCCAGAGTACTCTGGGTTTGTGTGCAGTTCTCATCCCTAACAAAAAAGGGACGTGTGTGAGGGGACAGGAGTGGAGATGCAGCCCCTGGGTACCCACTCTCCGTGCTGGCCAGGACTGGTGCAGTGGCTCAGGCTGTGCTGAGGGCTCTGGGCGCTGATGCCTGCGGGGATGGGTCCTTTATTTCATTCCCTGTTAAATGTTTAACCCATGTCATCAGAGCTGTTTGAACCTCTCCCCCACAGAGCTACCGGAGTCCACGCTTCTTCATTGCAGCTCAAGGTGGGTGCTGCCAGCCCTCATACTCAGGAGATGCCAGTCCCTGCTCTGAGGGCTTTGGGGAGTGGGGAACAGCAGCCTAGGAGATGTTAATGGCTCAATCCAAGGCCCTGTATCTCCTGGGCCTCTGTCTTGGATGGTGGTTACGGCTGCTGCAGGGCATGGAAGGCCTCACTGCCCAGGCTGAGGACATGGTCCTTCCACCCATGAGCCTGGTTTGTTCCTTTTGGCAGCTAGCATGACAGGGACAAACCTGCAAATGCCTGTCATGTCTGCACTCAGTGCACTCAGAGGCAAGCTCCTTCCAACGGTGCAAAGCCGAGATGGGTTAGTCTGTGCAGCATGTGGTGAGGAGGTCTCAGGCTCCTTGCAAAGCTGCAGAAATGCTCTTTGAGAAAGAGGACCCTAAATGTGGGAGCAGCTCACTGACCTCTTGAGGGTGTGGATGAGGAAGTCCCTGAAGTCACAGTGAATCCCTGACATACCCCAGGCTCACCTGTCCTCCCACTTCCTTGTTTCAATTTCTAACGGGTGATGAAGCCAAGATGCCCAGCACCCCTGCCAGGTGCTGCTGTGCCCAGGCTGTGCAGTGTTAGTCCCCAGGCAGAGGGAAGCCCAGGGCTGCTCATAGCCTGGGAATGTCTGAGTTGTGCCTGGGAGCAGCTATACCCCCATGGCTTGGACACTGGCACAGGGCTCTCTTCTCCTCCCCCAAGGCCCCTTGCCTGGGACGGTGCTGGATTTCTGGCAGATGGTCTGGCAGGAGAAGACCTCGGTCATTGTGATGCTGACAGGCTTAGTGGAGCAGAACAAGGTAGAGAAACCATCTCAGCCTGTGCTCAGCTTGGGCCTCCTCAGAGTCCAGGCTTCCTTGCCTGCTTTGATTTGCTTTGCTCCCAGTGCAGCTGTCCGTGAGGGCAGAGAGCAGCTCTACGCCACTGCTGGCCTGCAATGCTCCCCTCACGGGTTTGCTTGTGCTTAGCAGTCTCACTGCTGTTGACAGACCAAGTGCGAGCAGTATTGGCCAGAACAGGAGCAAGTCTATGGGGACTTCACCGTGACAGTCAACAACACCAGGACCACCACGGGCCTTGTCACACGCATCTTCTGCCTGCAGAAGGTAAGCCTAGTGTGTAGCTGAGATGGGGATGTAGGATGCTTTTGGGTTTCGGCAGCTGGTGGGAGTTGTCGGCCAAGAGATGCTGTGGGGGGCCCTTCCTGGCTCCAGTACTAGCAGGTCAGTGTTGCTATCACTGGATGCCATGCCAGGGCATCTGTGCCAGACAGAGGCAATTGGTCAGCTCGAGCAGTCACCCCAACCGAGTCTGGACTGATGTGCATGGGTAGATCATGGATCCTTGAGGGCTTGGATGAGGTGATCGCAAAGGGTGTGAAAGCAGTTAAAGGGTATAAAAGGGCATCTCTGTACATCCAGGATGATGGGACAGGTGCCTGCCTGTCACCTGGGCCAATATGCAGAGGGTCAACATTGAAGCTCCGTGGTCACTTACAGCTCCTAAACCTGAACAGATAGTTTATGGTTTAAGATAACTTACATAATGACATTTCTCAAGACTGCTGAAGTTGTACTTCAAATAATAAGCAGAAACTGAAGGACCTGCAAGGAGGGAAACACAAGTACAATATAAAGGAATTGCAGTTATGCATATTCTTGTCTTTTCTTGTCTTGCCCAGAGCAAAGTCTAGCTGAAAGGTAAAGCTCCAAGAGCACCTGATGGTGGTTCATAGCAGTACATTAGTTCAGGCCAAGTGAATGTGATGTTTAGGGAAAAATACGTGATGGGCTGGTAATAAAAGTGACGTACCAGCCTTAGGAAATACCTTATTTGGGGAAGTCAGGGCTTTTCAATGACTATGGAAACAGTCTACACTATGATTTATTTTTTTTTTCCTCTGGGCACAAGCTGCATTTACTGCTCTGATTTCACTGTTCACAGCATGGGGAAGCAGAGAACAAAGTGAATTGTACAGCAGTATGCTGGGTGAATTTGCCCTTTGCTCTCTGATGAGCTGTAGTGGAACAGTCATTGTGGTGGGGGTGCTGGGGGGGACACTGTGTGCCGGTGCTTCCCTGAAGTGGTTTTCTCCACTGCACCCTACCTGTTGGCATGCAATTACTTCATGCAAGTTTCCAGACTGGTTCCTGCTCCTAGCCATGTCACTCCCTTTGCAGGCAGGCTGTGCTCTCCCAAGAGTGGTGGAGCAGTTTCACTACCTGCTGTGGCCAGACCATGGGGTGCCCAGAAATGCTGCCCAGCTCCTGTGCTTAATGGAGTTGGTGAACAAGAGGGGGTTGGAAACCCCTGCTGGACCTGTGCTGGTGCACTGCAGGTACTGGGGCTGGGAGTGCTTGGGTGCTGGGGCAAGGCTGGCTGGGGCACTGCTGACCCCCAGTTTTCTGTATCCTCAGCGCAGGGATCGGGCGGACAGGTACCTTCATCGCCCTGGACTTCCTCCTGAAGATGGGGAAGATTGAGGGGAAGGTGGATGTGTTTCACTGCGTGCAGAGGCTGCGGGAGCAGCGGGTCAGCATGGTGCAGACCAAGGTGAGGAGTGTTACCTGCTCCCTGCACACTGTCAGGCTGCTTCCCAGCCCTCCCAGGGATGTGGCATGCAAAGCCACACTGGCCATGCCATTCATGGTCTAGCCACAGGGACTGGAGCTTCCAGGTGATGGACACTGCAGGATCTTGTTTTCAATGCTGTGTCCAAACCTGTTTGGGATCCATGTTCCCCTGAAGGAACCTCTGAAGGATCCTCTGAAGTGCCAGCAGCTTTCATACGTATCAATCATCCTGGTTTAGAAGGGCTGTCTTGTAGGGAAGGAGCGTGCACAAGAGTCCACGTGTCCTTCAGGCTTTCAGCATGTCTGCCCTCATGGCATCTTCTATGCAGCAGTGTCCTGACTGAGGGACTACATCCCCATCGTCTGCTCAGTGCTGGGACTCTTTGGAGGAAGGGGTTGGACAGGACCATCCAGCTGCTTGTGGGAGGACTAACTAGTTCACTGGTTTTCTGGGTTTCTTTCCCCAGAGCAGGGGTCTGGCCTGAGAGGGAGCATTCAACCACAGGAAGATGGTCTTGTCTGGGCTGTTGCAGTTGCTGTCTGTTTCTCAGAGCAGGGATGCCTGCACTGAGAGGTGTCTGGCCTCAGGGCCCCACCGCAGGAAGATGAAGGATGGACCTGGCTTATTCCTGGCACAGGTCAATGCCAGTGAGCTGATGGTCTGGAGTCCCAGGGCTTCTCACAGAGCAGCTCCAGACTGTACAGCTGACCTGTATCCTCATGCAGGAGCAGTACACCTTCTTGTATGAGGCACTGCTTGAAGGCTTGCTGTGTGGCAACACCGGCATCCCAGTGGAGAGCATCGCCAGCCATGTTCGCTGCCTTCGAGAAGCTGAGACCTCAAGGCAGGACAATGTCCTTGAGAAGGAGTTCAAGGTGCCACCCGGATCTGGTGTATTGGGTCTGGTGCTGCAGGGGCTGGTGTGTGGGATGGACATGGGGAAGCATTTCTCTCGGGTGGCTGAAGAAGGGGAGGAGCTGACAGGCAGAACTTGCTTGACTGAATCATCCTTACAGGCCCTGCAGAAGTTTTCTGAGTTGTTCCAGCTCCTGCCATGCAGAGAAGCAGAGAAACCCAGCAACCAGCCCAAGAACCGCAAGCCAGGCATCCTGCCAGGTACCGTTGGCAGGGCTGGGCAGCTCCTTGCTCTGTGACCCAGCACCTGAGAGCAGTGCGGGGGGGACAATGCTGCCCTGCTGCTTCCCTCCCCAGCACCATGCCACTGGCAGCTTCTGCCCAGAGTCCAGTCATCATTTTCTGGTTGGCAATAAATATAGATTAGGCTGGTCCCTCCATGAGATCAAGACTCCACCCCTGCTTCCTTCTGGGCTTGCTGGAGGCGTGTGTTCATGGGGTACACCTGGGATAAACGTGTCCCTGGATCCAATCTTTCCTAGTGGAGGAGCCCAGATGAGGCATCAGGGAACAATGAGGAGGGTGGACCTGCTGTACCTCTGTGCCTCTGCCCATGGGGTTTTGAACATCCCATGTTAGGTAGCCCTGAGCTGTCATGGCCGTGGGGCTGGTAGTGCCTGTTCATCCAAGCCTCTCCAGCCTGTATCACAGGGAGCCACACTGACCCCACCGCTTGCAGGGAAAGGCCCGTGCCTCTGTGTGGGGAGAAGATTTCATTTGCCTCTCTGCCCCTTGCCTCCGCAGCGGATTCCTGCCGGCCCATCCTGATGTCCTCGCTGAATGCAGACGGCTCGCCAGGTTACATCAATGCTGTGTTTGCCCACGTAAGGCTCCAGCCCCAGTGGGGGGTGGGAGCTGCTGAGAGAAGCAGAGATACCCTCCCGGGCATCACTGCTCAAGGCAGGGCTAGACCACACCACCCTGGTTTGAGGTGTCCCAGCCCTGGGGCTTCTTCACAGTGACTACTTCCCAGCAGCTGGGGCCCTGCTGCCAGGAGATGGCCCCCGCGATCAGCCTACGTCCTGCCTGCACAGGCAGCTCAGCAGGGTGCCGCACAGCTGCTGGCTTTTCCTGCTGGGAGCAGAGCCCAGGTGTGATGAGCTGAGGGGGCAGTGGGGTGCAAGCCCCAGGGACTGCAGATGCCTGGCTGCAGGGAGGCAGGAAACCGCTCACACTGTCAGAGGGGTTCTCTGGGCGTGGGTTGTATGACCTTTTCCTCCCCCACACCCCGGTGTGTTTTGCAGACATACACCCAGGAGGACAGACTCATCGTCACCCAGCTGCCTTTCCCCACCACGCTGGTGGATTTCTGGGCTCTGGTCTGGGATTACACCTGCACGTCGGTGGTTATTCTGAACCAGCTCCAGGAGCTGGACGAGGTCAGCAGTCCATGCGCAGCCCTTCCCTCTCCCGGCTCCCGGTGGGACTAGGCAGTGTGCTTTCTGCCTTTGCCCCTGCACAGCTCTTCTCATGAGAGCCCTGCTTGCTGCGGGAGCCCCTGCAAGCTTGTGGGCTCCACCCGTGAGAGCCCTGAGGACAGCCCCAGCACCACGGCACTACAGCGGTGGGGTATCACCAATCTCACAGCAAGGGAGCATGCCTCAGGTTTTGCTTACCCCTGCCCAGGTATTCTCTCTGCAGGAGTGTTATACTTCTGGCTGCAGCACTGCGGGTTGGTCCCCAGCAAACGGGAGGCAGAGCACCTACGTGCACACTGTGGCTTATGGACAAGGGGCTGGTGTGAGCACATCCATGCAAGGTGCTGAGCTCTGCCACACATGTGGGCTGGGGCTGTGTGTGATCACACACGTGTCTCTTCCTCCAGACATACGTGGAGTTCTGGCCCACCCAGGGCGAAGCTGCCTATGGCCGTTTCCATGTCCACCTGATCTCAGAGGAGCCTGGAGCTGGCTTCACAGCCTGGACACTTGCCCTCACCAACAGGCAGCAGGTGGAGTCTTTGCACAGAGATGGTGAAGTCCTGCAGAAACAGCCTTTGCAAGAGCTGGGAGGACTGGCCAGGCTCTAGCGTCAGCAGGCTTTGATTTGGGGTCAAAGTCACAGCTAGGGATGGCAGAAGCCACAACGGTCAGAGGGATCTGATGGGGTCCTGGAACGGCACTGGCCAGAGTGAGGCCTTTTGCCTTGGAAGGGAGGTTAGTCCCAAGAGAGTGATGCTGCAGGCAGAGGTACGAGGCAGAGGTACATTTGTGTACCTTTCTAATTTGGAGGACAGCTGCCATGGATAGACTTCGTGCCTCTCAGTGGTGGTTTGTGGATGGTGATGGCTATTACAGGTAGCTGGGTGCTGGACTGGCATCAGTCTGAACTTCACCTGGTGCTCAGTTCTTATCTTGTGCTCTGTGTGTCTGCTGGTCTCAGAGCACTCAGTGCAGAAGGGCAAAGTCTGGGACTGGGCAGCTCCCATGTGGAGTTGCTCCCTTAATCTAGTGAGCATGGCTGAGCCAGGAATAATACATGCTGTCCCTCCCTTCTCTCCATGAAGCCAATGGGTTTCTTCTTTGCCCAACCCACTGTCTTTCTCCCCCACTAGCCCAAGAAGTCTGCACTGGAAGTCCGATTCTGGCAGCTGAAGGACTGGCCCATGCAACAACGCCTTCCCCCATGCCCTGCCACCATCATCAGCCTCCTAGGGAAGGTGGAGACACACCATCGGCAGAGCCAAGACGGACATATCCTTGTTGCCTGCTGGTGAGTTATATCCCTTGGAGGAGCAGCCATGGCACAGAGCTGGCTCAACCCAGGCTGCATCACTGAATTTGGGTCACAGCTGTATCTTGGGTGGAGATATGGACATGAATTCAGCTGTGTTCAGGGAGGAAGACTTCCCTGTGGAGGCTAGCTGGGTGCAGGATCTGTGAACAAGATCATCCTGAGAGCCTGCATGTCTAGTGGGACACCTCTGAGGCTCAGCCCTGCCAGCTGATCCCAGACCAAGTGACTCTCCCTTTGCTCTCCTTCACAGGGATGGTGCAAGCCGGAGTGGGATCTTCTGTGCTGCTAGTTTCCTGTGTGAGCAGATCCAAAGCGAGGGGCTGGTGGATGTATCCCAGGCTGTGAGGATGCTGAAGAGGCGGCGGAGACAGCTGATTAAAGATGTGGTAGGTGTTGACCTCAAACCCAGCCGAGATGGCAACACCAGAGCAAGAGCCATAGCCTGGACTGTCCCAGTGGCTGCCCTAGCACCTCTGTGCTCAGACCATCCTGGGGCCAGTAGGGGCAGATGAGACCTCTGAAAGCCCTGTTTGCTGCTGCTGGGATATACCCACTCACTCAGGGGCAGGTTCTGCAGAACTGGATGGGCACCGGAGCATCCTGTAGGCTGAGTAGCCCCTTTATAGTCCACTTGGCCTGCTCAGCAAGGGGCTGCACTGGTGGGTGCTCAGGTACCTGTCCTGCACCCACCTCGCCCTCCTGGTCTGGGTGCTCAAGGCCATCATAAGGTGAGAACCTCAGATGGGAGTGAGCAGCAAATGTTTCATGCCATGGACGCTGGCTCTTCTCCCAAGACCAGCTGGCTCCAGCATTGGGGTAGCCCAGCCCTCAGCTACTGGAGCACATGTCTGTGATTCCTCAGCAGGGGAAGGTGGGCTTCAAATGGGAGGAGGAGAGTGGGTTGTACCTGTGCATAACTTGCTCAGGAAGCTGTTGGCAACCATGGCTGGCCTTCCACTGCAGATGTTTGTGTACCAGGTTCTCAAATGCATCCTTCTGTCCACAGGAGCAGTATGGGCTCTGCTACGAATTAGCCCTCAGTTACTTGAATTCATTTGAAACCTATGGGAATTTCAAGTAGAGGCATGACCACAGCCCATCTCTGGCCAGGACTTTGACTCTCTTGATAGCCCTTCATCAATAACAGTGGAAACCAGAGGAGACAAGAAGGGTGTGCACAGCCCCAAGATGCTTTACTCCCCTGAAAAGCCACCCCAAGGGTCCTCTGTGGCTGGAGAGCACAGGCTAGACTGTCTCCAATTTGTGGTCAAGCTTTGAAGCCGGAACTTGACCCTTTGCCCAGAGGTTGCACAGAAACTTACCTGGAATCACAGCCTGAGTATGCAGACCAGAGCAGAGGCACCAGGACTTAACCTGTCTGTGCTAGGGATGAAGAGAACCAGCTGTCCCATCCAGGCTCCCTTGTCCCTTCACACAGCCCCAAAGAAAGTGGGGTAGCTCTGTGTTTTGCCAGAAGAGCATCAAACCACTGTAAGATCCATGGGGCTGAGGAGCACAGGCTATCTGTACTACTTGGGGAGAAGCATGAAGCCCAAGGCCAACAAGAGCCAAGGGAGGGATGACCCACAGTCATGTAGGGATAGCCTGGTCCTTCCCACCCCACACAATCCCTTCCTGGAGCTCCATCTTCCTGATGCTGATCTAGGTGCTGGCCCTGCCAGCTTGTCCTGGTTTAGGCAGGGATAGAGTTAATTTTCATTCTGGCAGCTGGTGTAGTGCTGTTTTTTGGATTTAGGATGAGAATAATGTTGATAACACACTGATATTTTAGTTGATGCCAAGCAGTCAGGGACTTTTCAGCTTCTCATACTGGCCTGCCAATGAGAAGGCAGGGGGTGCCCAAGAAGCTGGGAGGGGACACAGCCAGGACAGCTGACTCAAAACTGGCCAAAGGGATATTCCATACCGTATGACATCACATTCCACATATAACTGGGGTTTGGCCAGGAGATGATGTGGCTCGGGAACTAGCTAAGCATCATCTTCAGGTGGTGAGCAATTGTGCTGTGCATCACTTGTTTTGTGTATTCTTTTATCATTATTATTATTCTCTTCCTTTTCTGTCCTATTAAACTGTCTTTATCTCAACCCATGAGTTTTACCTTCTTTTCTTTTCGATTCTCTCCCCCATCTCATGGGGAGGGGGGGACGGGGACGGACACAACAGTGAGCAAATGGCTGTGTGGTTGTTGTAGCTGCCAGCTGGGTTAAACCACAACACAGCTCCAGAGAGGCTCCTTCAGAAGCTTGTCTGGCTCCACCATGGCAACCCCAGGTTGTAGCAGCTCAACTTAGATATCCTGGATGTGGTTCCAGCAGGGGCTGGTGCACCACAGAGACTGGTTCTGCCTTTGCTGCTCAAGGGTAAGGGGTCTCAGAGCCAGGACTGACCACATGGCTGTTCGTTGTCTCACCAATAAAGACTCTGTGCTGGCCATGGTGGTGGTCACCACTGATCTTCACTTTTCTTCCAGGTTTGACCTGGCACAGGGACTGCAAAGGACCTGAGAGCACACAGGTCCCTCAGCTCTGGTCACAGCATGGGCACAGAAGACAGTCCTGCTCAAGCTGTTGGATTGAGTCCAAAAGAGGGCCATGAAGCTGATCGGAGGGCTGGAGCACCTCTCCTATGAGGACAGGCTGAGAGAGTTGGGCTTGTTCAGCCTGGGGAAGAGAAGGCTCTGGGGAGACCTTATAGCACCTTCCAGTACCTGAAGGAACCTACAGGAAAGCCGGACAGGGACTGTTCATCAGGGAGTGTAGTGATAGGACAAGGGGTAATGGGTTTGAACTAAAAGAGAATATATTTAGATTAGATATTAGGTAGAAATTCTTCACTGTGAGGGCGGTGAGGAACAGGTTGCCCAGAGAAGCTGCGGATGCCCCCATCCCTGGGGGCAAGGCCAGGTTGAAAAAAAGGGGTTGTTGTCCCTGCCTATGGCACGGGAGTTGGAACTAGATCATCTTTGAGGTCCCTTTCAACCCAAACCATTCTGTGATTCTATGTCCATTGAGGGACATTACCCTTTCACTGATTCCCACCACATACCCCATCCAAACTCAGGTGAGAGCTGCCCAAAACAGCGCTGAGGGTTGGAAAGGTTGTCAGGCACCACTCAGGCACTCAGGGTCACAGCGCAGCCCTGCTCATGGTGTCCCCTCAAGAAGGTGCAGTTGTTGGGCGATGTGACCCCTCAAGGGCAATGTGGGGACCAGGCAGGAGATGTGGATGGGCAGGCAGCCCCCTCCAAACCATGAGCCTTTATTGGTTGTCCAGACAGAGCAGGCAGAGTCACAAAGGCAGCCCAGTCAAGCCAGGCTCCAGCAGAACCCTGGGTTTAGCTGAATATCAGAGGGGTTGGGAACTTAGGACATGGCAGGAGCATGGACCCTCCCTCAGCACAAGCCCGTGTGAGTCAGAGACTGGGAAATCTGGCACACAGTTCCTGCTTCCAGAAAGCAAAAACAAAAGCAAAGTCTACAAAAAAGAACTACAGAAAGTCACATTCAAAGGCCTTAAAACAGGAGTAAGTGAAAGCTGGGAGGTGAAGGGAGTGAGGAAAGAAAAAGCTCATAGCCCTCCTTGGCCTCCTGTTTTCCTCTTGCTCTGCTGAATTGGATGGGACTCCCAGTGCTGGTCACAGTCACAGGAGAGCCAAGGGGCTGGCAGCCATCAGCACTGAGTTGGGGTCATCCTCCCCATCTTCTCTGCTCCCTCACTGCTCCGAATGTCTCCTGTGGTCCTGGGCAGGGGCTGGAGTGACTGATCTCCAGCCTGGCCACCTTCACCTGTGGAGACTAAAGGTACCCAGGGCAGAGGCTGCTGTGTGCCCTCAGCTGCGTGGAGAGCTCACGCCACCACAGCTGCCTGCACACATGGGTTTCTGAAGCACCACAGGGCTGGGACAAATGGGGAGGCATGTCAGTGAAGAGGATGAGCAGATGTTTCTCCTGAGGGTCAGGCTCTTCTGGGAGATCTCTGATCCCCTTCCAGCTGCCACCCAGCCCTTTCTGTGATAGTGGTCCAGAAAATTGCATTTTCCTACCTTTTTAATTATCCTCTGTAGCTTTGCGGGGAAAAAACTTCCTTTTCCTGGAAAGGCAAAAGGAGTACTGAGTAAGAGACTGGTATTGCCCCTGGCCCTGCTAAACCTCTCCCCTTCCTACTCACCTGGAAAGCACGAACCACAGGATACCTGCAGACACGAGGAGTGCCAAGAGCACAACCACCCCAATCACAGTCCCCCACCACGGACCTGGAGGCTGCCCTGCAACTAACGCAAAGCCAGGAGTGGGTGCCACAGCCTGGACCATGTTCTAGCAATGGCACCAACAATGGCAAAGGGAAGAGTCCAAGGCCAGGTTAGATGCAGGTTTGGGCAACCTGGTCTAGTGGAGGGTGTCCCTGGCCATGGAAGGGGGTTAGAACTAGGTGATCTTTGAAGTCCCTTCCAACCCAAACCATTCTATGACTCTATAATTCTATGTGCAAGTGTGTAGACATGTGTCTTCATTTAGGGTACTCCTGGGATGGAGGATGAACCCATATATAGGAAACGACAGGTTACCTCTGCCCCCCACAAGAGCCCGCAGCTCCTGCGCTTGGCCAGCTCCTCTCCACG